ACCCATCCCCAAAAAACTAGCAAAAGCTGAGCAGGAGTTGAGCCCCACAGGGCAGCAGCACTCTCCAGCCACCAGCTGCGGGACCTGGGGCTCCACAGAGGCCTGTGCGGTCCAGTAGCCCACAAGAGCAGTGGGAAGCCGGAGTCCCAGAGAGACTGGTACTATCCAGCTGCCTACCCACAGGACCTGTGGGGTGCAGGGGCACCAGAGAGGCCAGTGCGACCCAGCAGCCCATAACATAGGCATAGACCCGGGTCAACAAAGGGACTGTGCGATCCAGTTACCCACGGGACCTACAGGGTGTGGGTGCACCAGAAAGACCTATGCGACCCAGCTGCGCAAAAGATAGGCTTAGAGGATGTGAAAATGGAGGCAGAGTGAGTAGAAGCTACGCAGACGATCACCCAGGACCAAACAGGAATTACAACTAAAATAAAGAAAAATCCTCGGAAAAAAGCAACAGAAAAGCAGCAGGACAGGGCCATATAACCAGGGACACTGGTAGGATCTGTGGAGGCGCGAGAGGGTGGCGGCTGAGAGCCCACAGACAGCAGCAGCCTTAGCTGTGAGCAGCGCCCTTGGGGAATAAAGACCAAGCCCGCTCCACAGCGCAGAGAGCCAGGAAAAAGCCAATGATATATTAGATAAGGGGTTAATTTCCAATACATATAATGAGTGCTCATACAAGTCAACAAAAGGAAGACAAAGAACCCAATTAAAAAATGGGCAGAGGAACTAAATAGACACCTCTCCAAACAGTACATTCAGATGGCTAAGAGACTTATGAAGAAATGCTCAACATCACTACTCATCAGAGAGATGCAAATTAAAACAACAATGAGGTATCACCTCACACCTGTCAGAATGGCCGCCATCAACAAATCATCAAACTACAAGTGTTGGCGAGGGTGTGGAGAAAAGGGGACTCTGGTACACTGCTGGTGGGAATGCAGACTGGTGCAGCCACTATGGAAAACACTATGGTGTTTCCTCAAAAAATTAAAAATGAAACTGACATTTGACCCAGTGATCCCACTTCTAGGAATATATCCTAAGCAGCCTAAAACTCCAATCAGAAAGAATATATGTACCCCCATGTTTGTAGCAGCACTATTTACAATATCTAAGATCTGGAAACAGCCCAAGTGTCCATCAGTAGATGAATGGATAAAAAAGCAGTGGTACATATACACAGTGGAGTACTATGCAGCTGTGAGAAGGAAAGATCTCTTATCCTTTGAGACGACATGGAGGGACCTGGAAAGTATTATCCTAAGTGAAACAAGCCAAACAGAGAAAGACAAGTATCATATGATCTCACTTATTTGTGGAATATAATGAACATAACAGTCTGAGGAATGGGGTAGTCCCAGAGACGTGAAAGTGGGGTACAGAGTAACAATCCCCAGAGGAGAGGGTGGTGGGGGAGAGATAAACCACAGAACTTATATGCATGTATGCATGAACAATGGACATGGACAACAAAGCTGGGGACAGGGTGGGGAGGGAGGGGGAGGGGAATCAATGCGGGGAACAGGAGAAACATCTGTAACAAAAATAAATTAATAAAAATAGATGAATAAATAAACCTCCACCCATTAATCATATCAGTAGCCTTTGTGTAAACCTTTTGGTCTCTATTCTGTTCAAGCTGGTTGCAGTGTGTCAGCTATGAATTCTTCATGATTTTATGTAAGGATAGGAGAATTCTTTTCATTTGATTTCAAGATGCTTGCTGATGATAGCCCGGTTCTCTTGGTCACTGTGCAGTAGTATACCAGTATCTTCAGAGAACAGCCTACAGTGATTTTTAGACCCTCTTTCTTGGGTTGATAATGGTGACCAACAGTCTCATTTAGACTCTTTCCCCCTAGAGCCGAATATTGAAGTTCCTTTCTCATCTTTCTCCCCCTTGTGCAATCCTCTGGGAGCCCATCACCTTCGGTTTCCTTTCACGATCTGGAAGATCTTCGTAGCTCCCCTAGCCTTGGCAGGTGCACTTTCCGCTTCGAAGTGCACCAGCAGCAGCGTGGGTCTCTGAGGAACCCCATCAACTATAAGAAAAGAGAAAGAGCCCTGGCTGGTTTGGCTCAGCGGTTGGAGCATCGGCCTGCGGTCCAGAGAGACCCGGGTTCGGTTCCCGCTAAGGGCACGTACCTTGGTTGCAGTTTGTCTCCGGCCCTGGTTGGACGTGCGGGTGGCAACCACTCCATGTGTCCCTTCACATCGACGTTTCTCTCTCTCTCTCTTCCTCTCTCTCCCTCCCGCTCTATCTGAACAAAAAATGGAAAAATGTCCTCGGGTGAGGATAAAAAAAAAAGAAAAGAGAAAGAGAAACCTCACGTCTAGATCATCTATAATCTAAAATCTATATCCCTGGAAAATAAGATTTGTTCACGTTTCTAGAGAAAAGCCTAGAAGCTAGAATTTGCCTTGACCGTATGTTCCAAGGAGCTGAGAGGCGTGGCTGTGGGTGAAGGAAGTTAAAGCTCCCCCTAAGGGCCGCGTCTGGGCTTCGTTGGTGGTGGAGAACTTCCAGTGAGGGGACATTTAAGAGGGAGGCTTTGCCTTTAGGAAATCTCTCATGATTCTGCTTCCTAAACTTAATGCCACTGCAAATTAGCAGAGAGAGATGGTAAAGTGTACACACATATAATATTTAACAAGATGCACCCATATACACAGAAGTTCGTACGCATTTACAATGTAAACATTTGCATAAAGATAAGTAGATTTGCAGTGATGTTACCAGGGAACAAAGGAACAAATATTGGGATTTGTTTCCGTGTGGCTAGTTTTAGGCTGATTTTGGAGCTCAATTAAAATATGGTTGGCTGTATTAGTTTTAACATGTATTAAATGCCAGACTGAAAAAAAATAAGAAAACAGGCACTCATATGTTGCTGGTAAGAGCATTAGTTTAATGACTCAAGTACATTAATTAACAGATGGAAGCATGAAGAAGAATGGAAACAATAAACCATGCAGCAGTATGAATGCATTACAAAGAAAATGACTGTTTCTGCTCCTATTCTCTAGAGGATTAGTTGGGGTGGACAGGCTGGAAAACATTTCCACAACGACTTGGATGATAACTCAAGAGGTGGAAATGTCAAAAGAGAGAGGGTTACACTTAGATTCACCTTTTAATAGGATTTGTATGTCAAGTGAATGAAATTTTTATGAATTGAAATTTCCATGACAGGTTTCATGTCTTCGGGACCAGGAATGTACTAGACAAAGCAACTTACCTTCAACCAGATACTAGCACATCTGGGTGCTATGCTCTCGCCCTGTCACTGAGCAGAGGAGTTTCCAGCACGAGGGTGCAACCTATATTTTACTGAATGCTAATGCACTTTAGGTATTTTCTGTTTCTCAAAAGGCTACACAGAGAAGCAACCCAGAAATTTTCTTGGGGGAAAAAAAAATCTGTGAAGGAAAGGACCTGTTTTCATTTCTAAATGTATACAAATTAATATTTCAGTGAAAAAAATCACCAGCTCAAGAGTGATCATACACTGTCACAAGCCTTGCGTGGTGGTGTTCTGAAGGGGCAGATGTTTCAGGGCTCTCTGCAATAAGCAAACATCAGGTCAATGTTCTCTTCCTAAAATACAGGTCCCAGAAATCGTTAAATGACCTGTAGTTTTGCTGCAGCCCTGGGAGGTCATTTACTCATTGGACAAACATAAATTAAGGGCTACGGCTGTGTATAAAACATGGGCACTTGAATCACAGGAGCCCAAGTGGTCAGAGAAACACTGGGTTTATTGGTTTTGTGTAACGTGATCTTTTTTTTAATCCTTACCCAAGGATATTTTTCCATTTATCTTCAAATAGAATAGGAGCGAGGGAAAGAAAGAGAGAGAAACATCGATGTGAGAGAGACACATTGACTGATTGCCTCCCGTATGACCCCACCAGGGCCAGGGTCCGAACCCTGACTGAGGTATATGCTCTTGACCAGAATCAAACCTGCAACTCCTTGGTCCGCAGGCCGACACTCTAACCGCTGAGCCAAACCGGCCAGGGCAGTGTAACATGATCTTTTCTTTGAAAATTGTCAACCTGTTATTAACTCACATGTCCACTGACTTTCAGTTAACCAGAGTACCAAACGTCAGATCATTCTGCGTACGTGAGAACTGCCTTGTCAGCCCCGGCGCCTCCTCCCCCATCCTGCGTGGGTAGGGCTCCTGAGACAGCCTCTGCTCTCCTAGAACTCTGTGCTCTGCTCCATTTAATTAGAATTGATTACTTTTAAAATGGGTCTAAGGTCAAAATAGACTCTGCTTCCCTCATGACCAGATTAGAGACTAATCTGTGGGGTGAGGGGATCTGAGACAGTACCACAGCCTGTTAAAATCCCTTCCTCTGGTCTAGTGCTTGAACGCTGTGGAGCCCTTTCTCAGCCTCCGCCTTCTTCGTTCTCATAGTAAACCCAGGTAAACGTGCAGATGCCACTTTCCCCGGCTGGCAGTGAGGCGTCAGGCTCCACGGGGCTGCAGACCTGCCCCAGCCGTGTGGCTGGGGTTAGGAGCCGGAGCCTGGGATCGAGGCAGAGAATGGTGAGACTGTGAGGCCCTGTGAGTAGCCTCGTGCCCAGGTTAGAAAGCATAGTCATGATGGGCTTGTCAGGGTCCCATGCAAACGTCACGCTGGCTAGAAATCTGCAGATGAGCCCAGGACGGCTGTGTCCAAGCAGACTTCCCTGAGCAAAGGTTACCAGGTATTTACTTTCATTTTGTGCGGCGGAGGGTCTGAAATGGTACCTTGAGTTTGCTCTACACCAAACACTAAACAATTCTTTTTTCTTGAAGGTGCTAACCAAGTTTTCTCTGGCATCTAATAACAAATTCACAATGTGATTAGTTTATATCTCACAGCTGGGCAGTGTTCAGCTTGCAAATCCGGGACAGTTTTGTAGTTCCTTGCTTTTTTTGAAATGATGTGAGTTGCTCTGTGTCTGAAAATTAATCCAGGCCTTTTACTTCTAGCCCACTGCTTATGAAGAAACATTTCCTGTGACCAGTAAGAAGGGAAATACGGACGTCTTGGACATGAGCAGACTCCTTCCAGCTGCACTCAAGGGAGAACTAGAGAAACCCTCTGTGACTTCGAGTCATGGAAAAGCAACCAAATATACTGCTAAGTCCGCTGTCCTGCCTAGAACCAAAAAGAAACTCTAAGGTTCCCTCCAGCGCTGAATAGTGCAAAACCAGAGCTGCTCTGTCTAGTGCTAAAACGAGGGGATGGGCGGTGGAAAGGACAGCACTAGGCGGTCTTTTAGCCTTTCAGCTCCATCGAACCCGGCGGTGTGTTCGCGCCAGTTTAAAACTGAAACTAGATATCTCCAAGCAGCATGGTGTTGAAGGACAGCCACCAGCAGGCCTGACGGTGGGGCTGCGCTGAAGTCAACGCCAGACGTTCTCCAGGGTGGTTTAGCGGAGCCGGTGCCCTCCGAGCAGGACTGGGAGCATCCTTGCTCAGTCTGCTGCACCTGCTTAGATTCCAGCACAGTCACAGGGAAAAGGAGAGCCAAATATGGTAACGGAGGTTCCTAATAATTATGTGCACTTTGCACTAGCAGACATTGTTAGGAAATTACTAATAAATTTACCACAGGCATAACAGCAGAAGCGCTTCGGACTATTCATGTGTGTTCTTGTGATTGTAGGTTGCTATAGATTGTATAAGACAATTTAAATGTAGAAAAAGAATAGGAGATTTTGTAATTGCTTGCCATTCATATGCTGCTAAATTCCCAATGTATTGATGGAATCAATAAAAGACAGATGTTACCCACTCACATTAATTTTTATGTTAACAAGAAGTGAATATCATAAGGTCCTCTGAGCCCCTATGCAAATTGTGAGCTTGGCCCCTACTGCAGGAGGAGGGACACCCTTTGGGGAAGGTCATGAGGCTGGACACAGGGGGAAAGGTATCATTCCTCTCAGTATTACGGGTTTCTTCTTCCACCTGGCAAATAATTTCGCCATTCCAGGTCAAACTGAGCACGTGGATATTTCACTTGGCCTTCCAAACAAATTCTAAAGAAACAGTTTACATCAGCTTTTATCTTTATGAAGCAGTAACCCCCCTTCCCCAACTGGATTGCCATTTGGGCCTCCAAAATGACCCACGCCTGGCCAGCTGAGCATGTACTCATTGCATATAAATCCACCCAGTGGCTGAAGGTAGTAGATGTGCTTCTTGCCATTAATTTGGAAGATGCTGTTGTGCTTCCGAGTGGATCGGAGAGGACCCCGACCCGTGCCGCCCTGGGCTGAGTCGTCCTGCCAGCACTTTCCTAGTGCCTTCGATGTGCTCCCTCTGGGGGCATCTGACAGCCTGGGCCTGTCTAGTGGAAACTGTGTAGACTTTATTTTAGAACTGGCATTGACACAGCTTCTTCAAGGTCTTTCTCCCTTGCTGATTGCGTCGAGTCCTATCAGGAGCCCGTAAACCCTCTCCTGAGTTTTAAGCCTTCTCTCTGGGTTTAGTGAGCCAGTCTTCGAGCAGGTTCTGTTTGCCTGCTGAGACACCCGGCCTCCTTAGGCGACTTCCCCTCTCTACTGGCGCTCCTGGGGGCAGAGGGTTGCTGGCTGCTGGTCTCCTTGCAGAAAAACCAGCCGAGACAGTGGCTTTGATTCTGCCCCTCCACTGGGCCTGAAAATGGAACATACCCTGTTTTCAAAATGCTCTTAACTTTTATAGCATGATGCAGTCTTTCGTATCAAGGAGAATTCTGTTGTTAAATTGAGTACTATCCAAATTTCTATCCACGTGCCTCTTTGGTCTTCAATGCGTGATTCCGTTTAGTAAACTCGAGCAAAGGTCCAGAAGTGAGCACTGAGTGAATGGCGAAGTCATTTCATACCCTTTGAGTGGTGCCCTTCCCACCCAGCACCAGGCCCACCACAGAGATGCGTCGATGTCCTCCCTTCTGTCTAGACCTTCATTTTATTTATGTAGATTCCTTTTTTTATTATTATTATTTTCCGTTTATCTTCAGATAGAGTGGGAGGGAGAGAGGGAGGAAGAGAGAGAGAAACATTGATGTGAGAGAGACACATCGATTGGTTGCCTCCCTCACAACCCCAACTGGGGCTGGGGACCAACTGCAACTGAGGTACGTGCCCTTGGCTGGAATCGAACCCGGGACTCTTTGGTCCGTGGGCCGACACTCTAACTGCTGAGCCAAACCTGCCAGGGCTATGTAGATTCCTTTCAACAGAAACTTAGCTCATTCTTTCTAAAGGGAATTTCCGTATTATTTTTATTTATTTATTTGTATGGAACACACCTGGGCCAGACCATGTCTGAGCTGTTTTCCAACTGTGGTACCTCTTCAGTGTCTAGGGCTGAATGGCCTTGCTTTCCCCTTGTACTCTCACGACTGTGAAAAAAGTAGCTTTTCTGTTTCAGATTGGTTTTTGGTGACCGATGGGCAACTCCGAGGCATTGATAACAATCACTGACATCTCCCGCGCACGTCAGCATGGAGGGTTGGGCTTTGCTGTGACCAAAGGGACACACTCTCTCTAGGACAGCACAGCACAGGTGTTGCTTCCAAGGCACGCAGATGCTGATCAACATTCCGACTTAAAAATAGCAGACAAGCCAAGGCAAGAGGGAGGTGATGAAAGAGGTGAGTGCAGGCCGGGACTGGGGAGAAGTACAGCTGAGCACAGAAGATGATATCAGAGAAGAAAGGAAGACGGGTGGGGGTGGGGCAAAAGGAAAACAAAGTGGGTACAGGTAACAAAGAACTCTGACTGGGATGACAGCTCACGGTTCTGCCAACCCAGAAGCAGGAGGCAGAGGAGGGAGCGCTGCTCCTCAAGGAGCCGTCACTCCAGACCAGTCGGGTGGACGGGCCCCTCGTGGCCCGTGCAAGCGCACCCGGAGGAAGACCGGCTGGAGAAGCAAGGACCCTGGGAAATGGACGGTCAGAAAGGCTGTGATTTTAAGAGTTGGCCACGGAATAGCCCTTACATTTTGAGGAGGAATTTTACATGGTGTTGGGAGGAGGAAAGGAGAAAAAAAAAAATCAAAACATTTTGTGCTTATCACTGAAAAGCTTTGTTTAAATAATTCTATTTGACTCCAAAATGTAAGTTCCAGGTTGGACAAATCAAAAGCAGCAAGTCTTGAAAATGAAGCGTTTTAAATTCCAACCTGCTGTTGGAATGGAGAACAGAGGCTTTGTTCAAACATGCGTTCCCAGCAGTTAAGCAAAGCTCTGACATTGGCCGGGAAGTTGTGTCCTCGAAAGGCTGCACTTGGCTGGAGGCCAAGAAGCTGTGGCCTCAGGGAAATGACCTGGGCTGGGCATGTTCCGTCCTCCTCCCCTGAGACACTTGACCCTGCTCTGTCCTCCACCCGGAGAGCACGGTCTCTAGGGACTGCAGCAACAGGCTCCGGGCCTCAGGTTTGTGGGGATTCGGTCAGTGGGAGACGCCAACAGGTGACCAGAGGGTGGGAGAGTGGGGTCCAGTCGTTGGTTTCCCCAGCACCTTTGTGCCGGGATGCTGGGAATTCACTGCATTCTCCGTCGATCTCTCAGCTGTGTCCCCTGCCCCTTTAGGCCAAGACCAGGGGCTATTGCCTTGGGGTACTGTGTCTTCCCTTGTGGGTTTCCCTAAACTCTCAGTACATTTAGAAATAGCCTCTTTGTTAAACTTCCAACCACCCCATTTGCGTGCACCATCTGTTTCCTCCTGGAACCCACAGCGATCTGGTCCCTTTCCTTATCGTTTCTGCACTGTTCTTGACCTGGACCGGTTTGCTCTATGGTTGCCAGTCTCCTCCGGAATACGAGCGAAGAGCTTACCTGAGTTCCTCCCGAAATAAACCGACGGTCTGGGCGGTCACTAGGGGTTGAGGGATGGGGTGGCCGGGAGATGTTCCTGGGGTTGGTACTGAGACTAGCTGGATAGGTCTGCCACCACTCAACTGACTCTGACAGTGTCTAGACCCCGGAGGCTTGCACTGAGGTCTAGATTCCAACCATGGCCTTGGGGAGCCTAAAGAAAGCAACAGTAGCCCTGCCTAGTTTGGCTCAGTGGTTAGAGCATCAGCCCACGGACCAGAGAGTCCCAGGTTCGGTTCCCGCTAAGGACACATACCTCGGTTGCAGTTTGTCCCCGGCCCTGGTTGGGGTCGTGTGGGTGGCAAGGCAACCAGTCGATGTGTCTCTCTCACGTCCATGTTTCTCTTTCTCTCTCCCCCCTCTCTCCCTCCTGCTCTATCTGAAGATAAATGCAAAAAATGTCCTCGGGTGAGGATTAAAAAACAAAACCACAGTTGTAACAGCCAGGAGGACCTACGGGCTGCCCCCTGGCCGAGGGCCGAGGGGCACAGTGGAGGCTTCCAGGAGAACCCGCAGCACCAGGAAGCCAGGCGATCTGAAGCCGTCTTCCTGGCTTGTGTGTTTGTTTCATCTCTACAAGTGCTCAAATCAGCGCGCACAGCATTTTAAAGGAACTTCCTCACTCTTCAAAGGTCTCACTGAACTAGTCCGGTTTCACTCTTTGGGACCCCGTATTTTCCTGAGTGAGCTGGCTCAGAAGTGGTTTTGATTTCTGCTCGGTACATTGTTATCACCTAATCCTCACTGGTAAGCCCGTTCTCCTTGCCTTTGTTCTTCGAAGGAAGGCCATGATCAGGGTCTGTCTTGCGTGTTTGAGGCTGCCTTCCTCAGCGGCTGGCATGATTAGCTCTGTTCCCTCTCTGCCCGTCTCCCTACGCTTTCGGGAGCAGTTCCCAGCAGGCGTGGTGGGGATCGCACCGCTGCCCCAGTGGCCTGGCTTCGAGCAGCAGCGCACACGTGACCGTGGGATGCTGGGAAGACGAATCGGGCCAATAGGGTCACTGCTGGCGGTGTCAGGGACCTTCCTCTCAGTTGCCTGGTGCCACCCCAGACGTCTCAGGTGGACCCGGCGAGCACAGGGTGGAGACCTCAGCGGGCCTCCCCGAGGCCAGGGCCACCAGATGCCACGCAGACAGACCTCCCCCCAGCACAGTCTTCTCCCAGCTGGCTTCTGCAGCATCTTCCGATCATGCATATCCTTGGCATTGATACGCGGGTCCCATAAATCTTTCTGCCCTTGGGGGACTGAGACACACTTTGACCCTCTCACCTAATCACGCTCCGCAGACAGGAGCCTGACACCAGCTGTTGTTTAAGAAAGACTTTTCTCTCTCCTCTTTC